ATCTACTGGGACAGCCGACGTGTGACCGTGCCTCTAAGTTACAGAAGTATCCGCTCTTGGTTAGCGATGTAAATAAAACGGAAGTGTTTTAAGGAGCGAGTGGAAGGCCCCCCAACTCATTCTCCCCGGTGAACACCCCGGGTCTTGCTGGGGCTCCATCCCCCCCATCCCTCACACCTCCCTGTCTTTCCCCAACCGTCTCCTACACAGACCTATAGGTCAGTCCACGACCTCTCCCTCCCTGTAGCCGGCCCCTGTGACAAGGGGGCTTCATTGCTCCTGTAGGTCTCACAGGCACTCTGCCCCCTCCACCTGAGGCTGGTGTCCCTGGGGCACCAGCCACTTCCCCTCATTCCTTCTCTGAGCATCTGTCGCCCTGGGTGACCTAGGGGTGATGGGCAAGGTCCCTTTCTCAGCAAGAGTGGGGTGCAGGGGGGAGGGGGGGAGCAGAAGTCAGACGGAGCCTTTCTAGGCCCTATGAAGCCCCTGTGTGTCCCATGTGGGCTGGGGCTGTGCCCTCCTCATGCCCTCACCACACCCCATTGAGGAAACAGCTCAGGGAGGAGAGCTGCCTGCCCAGGTCACCCTCTGGGACTCAGGCCTGATCTGTTTGGCTCCAAAGTCCTGCTGTCCCCACTGCCCCATAAATCTTGGGCAGGCCAACCCCTCCAGCCCAGACAGGAATGCGGGTGGCTTAGAAGAGGGGAGGCAGCCACAAAGCCTCCCTCTCTATTATGTCTAAAACCCCAACCAGATAACACCTACAGTGGCTGCTACCCTACCCCATCCTGCCTGTCTGACCCCTGCCCACCACCCCTTATTGCCTACTACTGTCCTTCCCCTGCATGTGGCCTAGTGACCCTGACCTCCTGTCCCAGAAACATACCACTTTCCTTCCTACCTCAGGACTGTGGCACATCCTGCCCCCTCATCTGAAGACTCTTCCCTCAGATCTTGAAAAGGCTGCACCCTCACTTCCTCCAGGCCTCTGCTCAGATGTCCCCTCCTCCAGGGGCCTTCCCTGACTGCCCTCCTCACCCATCACTCTCCGGCTCCTCAGACTCCCACCTGATCAATTGTAGGGATTAATCATTATTATTATGATCCCATTACTTGTTCCCCCTGCATCATTCTTAATCACGGCCTGATGTTATATTATATAATTACTAGAGGCCCAGCGCACGAAATTCGTGCGTGGGTACGGTCCCTAGGCCTGGCCTGCAATCAGGGCCATCTTCCCCGGCTGCCCAAAGCCGACCCCACCCCCTGCCACCACCCACCCCCTTTAGCCATCGGGTAATCGGTGCCTGACGGCCAGGGGAAGGGACCGAAAGGTTGGTTGTTCCCACCCGCTTGCCAGCCCCACCCCAGGGGGCCTTGACCTGGCACTGCCCACATCTCCTGCCACCCACCCCTGGCTCCCCATTCGCTATTAGGCGATCGGAGCCTGCCAGCCTGGGAAAGGGACCGAGAGGTGGTCAGTGTGACTGGTCCAGCAGTCGTTCTGGTCGTTCCACTTTAGGGTCAATTTGCATATTACCCTTTTATTATATGGGATTTGTGTATTTGTTGTCTGTCTGCCTTGCCCACTAGGATGTCAGCAAACTAAGGACAGTACTTTGTCTCGTTTCCCACTGTATTCTAGTACCTAGAACAAGAAGACCTAGCACACAGTCTGTGTTCCATTAATGGACGCTGAGTGAATAAATGAACAGCAGCCCTGAATGTCGAATTGAGAAATGTTCATGTTCACAACTCTCAGAATCAATGTCTGGCCCCCATGAGGGAGAGAGAAGGTGTCCCTTATCTGGGGAAGGGATGAGTCCCCCTGAGGGTAACAGGAACCCATCCCCATGGGATGTGCAGGGGGCAGAGGGAGGGGCTGTGGAATGCAGGGGCTGAGCATGTCTCCTCCAACACAAAACCCTTCACCGGGCCACCAAGAGAACTCCTCTTTAGTCCTCAAAACCCTTCATGGCCCTGCTCTTTCTCCTGGATAGCAATCATCCCTTATGGGTGGGATTCCCCTTGGGGACCTTGGAGGTGGGGCTGGCCCAGTCGCCAAGAGGTGGGGTTTGGACTGTGGACCAGAGTTGAAGGCAGGCGGCTGGCACTGAGGTTTTCGTCCCTGATCTGCCTGCCCTGTTGACGAGGCCTTGGCACATGTAACTGGGAGAAGGGGATAGGGCACTGCGGAGTGCCCCAAGGGGGCCTTTTCCTCAGGGAGTGTGCACTTTAAGGAGGTGAGAGAGTGTGAAAGCCTGGAGGAGGAGGCGGTGTGGTGGAGGAACCATGCCTGGTGGGCAGGATTCTGCCACGTGGGCGCTGGCCCAGTGGGTCAGTGCTGGTCCCAGGCCTGGATGAGGCCTGGGGGTGCTCACTGGTATAATCAAATGAATGGCTCACAAATATTGAGCACTCATTCTGTGCCATGCAAGGATCCAAGCATTTCTCAGGGATTAATCATTATCATTATGATGACCCCCAATTTACAGAGCATGTCCACCCAGTGCCTCTGGGTGGAGGCGGGGGGCACTCTGAGTGTGAAACCAGGATTCAAACAGCCCCTGAAGGGCACCAGAGGCCATGCCCTTAAACCCACCCATGTGTCTCCAAAACGGAAGGCTGGCTGGAAAGGCACCTAGCAAGTGCCCAATAAATATTTGCTGAATGGGCCGGGCCGGCATGGCTCAGTGGTTGAGCTTTGACCTGTGAAGCAGGAGGTCAGGCCTCATGCCTGGGCTCAGTCCCCAGTTGGAGGCATGCAGGAGGCAGCTGATCAATGATTCTCTCTCATCATTGATGTTTCTACCTATCTCGCTCCCTTCCTCTCTGAAATCAACAAAAATATTTTTTTAAAAAATACTTGCTGAATGAATGAACTCGACAAGTTTGTGCCTGTCCGGAAATCTCTCTCCCACCGGCCTCAGTGTCCACAATTCCATCACCAGGAAATGCTATGGTTATGCTGCTAGTGTCACCACCACCCAGAGTGCCTCCATCCGGGCACAGTGAGTGATCATAACAGCCAACCTTGCAAGGAGCATGCTATCACCCCATTTTACAGAGGAGAAAACTGAGGTGAAGAGCAAGCTAGGAACCAGAACCCAGATCTGCCTGCACAGCAGTTGCCTTTTTAAAATGTAAGCAGGCCTGGGAAGGGTAGCACATTAAATGTCATTGTCGTTTACATCTGTTGGTAATGGTATTGCTCAGCTGCTAAAGATCACAATGCTGAGCTAATGGGAAAGGATAGGGTATATGTGCGAAAAGGATACAGAGAGCATGGTTTTGGAACACTGGGGGTTGAGAGAAAGCTGGGTGGCGTGGGTGCCAGCGGAGAATGGGGTGTGAAAGGGAAGTGGGGTGGAGGTCAGAAAATAGACCTTCAGCACTTCCTAGTTTTATTTTTGCAGTGTTTGCAGCTTAAGAGGGAAGAGGTTGGTTGGCTCTGCCCCAGAGATGTTGTGTGACCTCTGCCCTTTCCGAAGCCACCGATCCCCAGAGCTCTCATCTCTGCCCCTGGGCTGAGCGCTTAGGAGGAGCTCAGCTGGAGGCAGGCCCAGGGCACTCTGTACCTGCCGGGCAAGTGGAAACTACTTGAAACCTTAAATGGAGCGGACCTTGAAGTCCCCTGGAGCTGCCCAAGGCACAGAGGCGGCCCCATGCTCTCTGAGGCCACCTCGATGTCTGCAGCCCAGAAATGTCACGGGCACAGCTGACCGGGCCCCACGTTCACAAGATCCCAGGTGCTCAGGCCAGGTGTCGCCTCCTCCCCTCCATGCCCAGCCCCTGCAGGGACATCCCTGGATGCCAGGGAAGGAAGGCTATCTGTTCACTGAGCACCTACTGTGTGCACAGGCTCTTGCTAGGTGCCTCTCACACTTTCTCAGTGCTCACAATAGCAGATGAGGCCGGAGCTCAGGGGTGAAGCAGCCTATTGCGTCACCCAGAGCCGCATGCGAATCCAGGCTTGGCTGCTCTCGCCTCTGCTCCTGTCACCTTGCTGAAGGAATCCCGGTCCGGCCTCACAGCTCTGGGCTCCTGCATGCCTCCCTCCTCTACAGGGACTTTCTCCTTTGGTGTCCTCATGCTCAGGGTAGAGGATGGGCCCAGGAGAAGGGGTGGGAGGGAAGGCATGAAGGGAGTCGGATCAAGCCCTGGGAAGTCCCCCCTGCTGTCTTTCTCCTGCACCTCTGAGGATAAACTGTCAGTGGGCCTGGGGGTGTTGGAGGGTAGAGCCCAGCAGGACACATCAGCTGTGACAGTTTGAGGGCTGTTGGGCCACTGTGTGTGTGTGTGGGGGAGGGCGGGGGGGGGGCATGAAAGAGCTCCGTGGGACCCAGACAGGGACGTGACGCTCACAACAAACTGTCTGGGACTTTTGGCCACTTCATTCTCACTTCCCCCAAGTCCTCCTGCAGGCCCAAGGGACCTGGGGGGGTTTCCATGACGACTTCCTCCGCAACACCCCTCCTCTCTGACTGGCTGGTTTCTCCGTCTCCCTCCGGCTGCCCTGGCAGGACTGGGCTTTCCTGGACCCTCACGTGGGTCCTGCACCGGGAACCTCCTCTGGGGGTGCACTGCTGGGGTTTTCGCCCTCAGAGGCAGCAGGCATGGCCGGATTCTCAGAGGCCTCTGGGGTGGGGTCCTTGGATGGGGTGAAGGAGGCTTCATCACAGGGGCTGGGGGCTGAGCTGGCAGCAGGTCCAGGGGTCTGGGCCTCAGGGCTCACCTCTGTCTGGGCCACAGAGTCCAACTGGGGCTGGGCCTTATGGTCCACCTGTTTCTGGGCCGTGGGGTTCAGCTGAGGCTGGGCCCCAGAATCTGCTTCTGGCTGGGCCGTGGAGTTCAGCTGAGGCTGGGCCCCAGAATCTGCCTCTGGCTGGGCCGTGGGGTTCAGCTGAGGCTGGGCCCCAGAATCTGCATCTGGCTGGGCCGTGGGGTTCAGCTGAGGCTGGGCCCCAGAATCTGCCTCTGGCTGGGCTGTGGGGTTCAGCTGAGGCTGGGTCCCAGAATCTGCCTCTGGCTGGGCCCTAGAATTCAAACGTGGCTGGGCTGTGGGGTTCGCCTGTGGCTGGGCTGTGAGGTTTGCCTGTGGCTGGACCAGGGGATTCGCCTGTGGCTGGGCCTCAGCAGTTGGTTCTGGCAGAGTCTGCCCCCCAAAGTCCACTTGGGTCTGTGGCTCGGCCGGCGTGAAGCTGCCTGGCCGCTCCTCGCAGAGCGCGGCCGCGAAGGAGGAGAGCACCGCGCGCAGCAGGGCCCGCAGGTCGGCACTGGCCAGGAGGCAGAGGAAGGGGCTGAGACAGCTGTTGAGCAGGATCAGGTAGTCGGAGTAGACCAGCACCTCCCATAGCAGGTAGCCCGGGTAGATGTCCCACAGGAAGGCCAGATACAGCAGCTGTGCCAGCTGGTAAGGCAGCCGCAGGACCACGTAGGCTGACAAAATGGTCTTGGCCACACGGGCAAAGCCACGGCAGGCCGGGGGTCTTGGCTGGCGGCGGCAGCAGGTCCTGCAGGCAGCAGCCTGGGTGAGCACGTGGCAGACGAGCAGCAGGAGGAAAGGCAGGAAGCCCCCCAGGATCTCCAGCATGCGCAGCGGCAGCTCCTCGCTGTCCCAGAAGTCCAGGCAGATGACCAGGTCATACCACCAGATGACCGCCTCCGGGAAGACCAGCCAGGGCACACTGAAGAGGGTGGCCAGCACCCAGACCCCGGAGCAGACCCAGAGGGGCAGGCGGACTGGGCGGCGCCCCGGGTACCAGCGTGGGCAGAGCGCCAGCAGGCAGCGGTCCAGACTGAGGGCTGCCAGCAGGAAGAGGCCAGAGGAATAGGACACACCCCACAGGAAGTAGTAGAAGCGGCAGGCCGCCGTCCCCAGCGGCCAGTGCCCTCCGTGCTGGATCTCCATGATCTGGAAGGCCGCTGCCGCCAGGAACAAAAAGTCAGAGAGAGCCAGGCTGAGCAGGAGCAGGGCCAGCCGCGTGCCTGCCCCCTGCCGGGCCTGCGAGCCAGCCAGCCACGCCATGAGTGCATTGGCCGGCAGCCCCAGGAGCAGCAGGGCCACCAGGAAGACCGTATCCCAGCCACCCTGAGGGTAGTAATCCTCATCATCGAGCTCCGTGCGGGGCCCGTGGCCAGAGACCCCCAGGTTGGCTTCCATAGCAGTATCCATCTGAAGTCCCCAGTGTACTGCTGGACACAGAGTGGGTGCCTGGTAAATCAATGAAGGCATGAATGACTGGGTATGAGAACGTGCTGTGCATCTCCAGGCAGTCACTGTCCCCCTCTGAGCATCCTCATCACCTTTCGGGTCGTTACCCTATGCCAGGGACTTTAATAGATTCCCTCACTTAGTCCTCCCGAAATCCATTTTGCAGGTGAAGAGAGGAAAATTCAGAGGCTCAGTGACTTGCCCAAGGTCAGAGGTAGGAAGGGAGACACCAGGACTTGAACTCAGACATGACCATTCTGCCACTCGGAATCCCATTGTGTCCAAGTGGACTGAACCAGAGGCTTGATAACATATTTTTAAAGCTGGTGAATCTTTTCTTTAAGTAAACTTTCTAGTGGAACTCCTATGAACTAAAAGGGAGTACTCAGATTAAAGGAAGGGAGAGTACCCGTAGGGCCCCAGGGAACACAGTTTGAAAACCACTTGGTCAGATCACTGCAGGCCCCTTTTTGTCTGGTATCCTGGGGTTCAAGTGTTTAAGATTCCAAAAAGGAAGGGCTCAGGTCCCCTGGGTACACAGGAATTCAAGGATGACAGAAAGTCTGGGGCCTAGCCCTTCCCCCATCCAGCACAACTCTGACCTCAGGGTGAGGTCTGCAGCTCCAGACCCCAGTGGCCTGGGGCCAGGAAGGCCGTCCTGGGAGCCACTCGAGCCTCTTCATCATCCTCCAGCCCCGCTGCGACCCTCTTCCCAGCTCAGGCAGGAGGGGGCCCCATTTCTCCTCTGAGGCTACTGAGCAGAGAAGGGGGCTCAGCAGTGTGATGAGAACGAGGTGGCTGCCACCCCCACTTCCCTCGCTGGTGGAGCGAGTTTCCCTCTGAGGCCAAAAAGCCCTGACAACAGCGTGGAGTCAGGGGATGAAGCAGAGGCCACTGAAATGCTGGACCCGCCGGTGGCCCATGGCGCCTAACATTTGGCCTTTAGCCCAGTGGCCTCCCACGGCAGCCCACCCAGGACTTTTGCTTGGCAGACCCCACTCTGCAGGCCCCAGCCCCTGCCCGTCAGAGCCCTGGCTTGGCTTACCTGTGAGGGACGGCTGCTGGCTGCAAGGAGCAGGGCGTGCCTGGCTGCCCAGAGGTCCAGCCGTCTGCAGGGCCCCACGCCGGGGCCTGCTGCATGGCGCCCGGCGGCGCTAGGGCGGCCGGCATGAAACCCAAGCTGAGAGGACATCAATCATTCATGGGGCTGCTCACCGGGAAACCCTAACCTCGGCCCAGTAGGGCCAAGTGACCAACCAGGCCCCGAATTCTTGAAAATGCCAGATGGCTGCAACCTCCTCGCCATGGGTCTCTCCAGCCCAGTGCAGGCTCTGGGACTCCTCGGGGTCCACCTCCTCTGAACTCACCGCCATGTCCCTACATCCAGCATTCAAGGCCGCTCTTCCTCAATTTCATACACTCTCTGCTCCAGCCAGGATGTCACCCAGGCGGGGGCCGCAGGGGGCCACTGAGCCTACACTGCCCACCTCCCAGCCTTTGCCGACTCTTCCTCTGGCCTGAGCTGCCTTCTCTTGTCCTCTCCTAGCTACGCTCTGCCCACATCACACCACTGGGCCGAGTCCTTGACTCTTCAGCAATATTGCCCCCATTTTATAGATAAGACAACTGAGGCTCAGAGAGGTGAATTGGCTGGGTCATCCAGCTCATCAGTGGGCAGAGCAGCAGTCTGAAGCTCATTACAGCCGCCATGTCCTGGCACTCATTGTTGCTGAGAACAGTTCCCCATCTGGCTCTGCCCTGGCCATGCCGGCCAGAGGGCCCCGATTGGGGCCTGGGCTGCCTACCTCACTTAGCCTAATCCCCTCAGGGCCTGATCCCAGGCCAGCGGCTCTCAGGGCGTATAAGCAGCTTTATGCGTCCCGTGAGCCAAGGGTGCTTCCTCGTGCTGCATCTCTGAGCCCTGTCGCCCGTCTGCACATGGCCACAGCGCAGGTGAGGGGGCAGCATGGCCCAGCCCTGGCCCCCAGCCCCCAGAAGTCCCCCGTGGGCGTCATGGCTCCCAGCAGTGGTGCTGAGGGACAACCCTTGACCAGGAGGAGAAGCAAGAGGGAGAGGGGGCTCCAAGGGTCCCGGAAAGGCACTGACAGTTCTGGGAAGCAGACCCCCATCCAGTGCCCTGAAGCCTCAGGGAGCAGCGAGAACCCCTCGAGGACAGGAGGACAGGAGGAGCCAGCCCCTGCAGCCCCCAGGCCGGCCTCTCGTCGCCAGTCCCACCGGCATCGTCCTGCCCCCCGGCACGATGCTGCTCAGAAGACATATGGGCCCCTGCTCAACCACATCTTCGGGAAGGTCAGGTGGGGCCTGGGCAGGGCTGGGGGCCTGGGAGTGGGGGTGGAACTTGCCTCCCAGGTTCAGCCCACCGTGCCCCTGGAGCTCAGGCCGCCTGCCCCTTCTCCTCTGGACCCTGGGGCAGGGTATCTGGAGTTTGAAGAAGCATAGGTCTTGGGTGGGCCTGGTCAGTGGAGCCAAACCTCAGACCCAGGTTCTGTGAGAACTCAGGGCCCCAGGAGCAGGAAGCGGGGGTTGTCTCTTTTCCTGGGGCCCACAGGTCTTCAGCTGCCTTCTCCTGCCCTTGTGGAACTGGCCCTGCCCAGGCCAGTGTGGGTGGGGGCTGGAGTAGGATGGCCAAAGTCCTGGCTGGCCCTGGGGACATGCTGGACTGTGCCCCTGCAGGACCGAGAGCTGGGCCCCGAGGAGCTGGATGGTGAGTGACCTTTGCTGGAGGCAGCGGGTGGGAGGTGTCCCTGAGCCTGGCTCCTGGGCCTGACCTCCCTCCCCTGCAGAGCTACAGGCCGCCTTCGAGGAGTTTGACACTGACCGTGACGGCTACATTGGCTACCGGGATCTGGGCACCTGCATGCGGACGCTGGGCTACATGCCCACGGAGATGGAGCTCATTGAGGTCTCCCAGCACGTCAAGATGCGAAGTCAGTGCCTGACCCCACCTGCCTGGGCGGCCCTAAGCGTCCAGCAGGGGGGATGGGGGTGGGGCAGGGAGATGACAGTTTCCAGGACAGTTTGACATTGGCCTCTTCAGCTGAAGGGACACCAGGGGGCAAGGAAGGCACTGGGCATTCAAGAGAGACCTTGGGGCTCTATGGTGACGGGTTGAAGAAGCCTGCCTCTGACATCATGAGGAAATGCCTCCTGCTGGCTGGCCATCTCTCCCCCAGCTCCCCCCCCTCTCTCCCGCCCCCTAAAAAGAGCTTCTTGAGCTTCAGTGAGGCCTAGTGCAACAGAATCTTGGCCACTCTAGTGAGTAAATGTAGGAAGGGCGGACACTGGTTATCATTAGCTGATTTGTCAAACATCAGAGTCACCTCCATTCCAGGACACCTGCACCTGCTTACTCTTTTCGGCTCCAGAGTGGGATGTGACTTATAATTCATGTGGACATTTTGGTTTATGCTCCTTTCTTTCCCCAAAGCTGTTATTTGACAATCGGTGTTTTTTTATAATTGACTAGAGGCCCGGTGCACAAAATTCGTGCGGGGGGGGGGGCGGGGTTCCTCAGCCTGACCTGCAACCTCTCCAATCCAGGACCCCTCGGAGGATGTCCAACTGCCAGTTTAGGCCCCAGGGATAGGGCCTAAACCAGCAGTCGGACATCCCTCTTGCAATCCAGGACCTCTGGCTCCTAACTGCTCACCTGCCTGCCTGCCCTAATCACTCTGCCTGCCTGCCTGCCTGATCCCCATAACTGCTCTCCCCTGCCAGCCTTATTCCTGTAACTGCCCTCCCCTGCCAGCCTGATCCCCCTAACTGCCCTCCCCTGCTGGCCTGGTCACCCCTAACCACCTCTGCCTCGGCCCCTGCCACCGTGGCTTTGTCCGGAAGGATGTCTGGATGGTTGTCCAGAAGATGTCCAGTCTAATTAGCATATTACCCTTTTATTAGTATAGATGATATCTTAGAGCAAGGGGCAACATGGGTACATTTCTTTAGGGGCATTTATTGCTGCCCACAGGGGTCCACACATGTGAAAGCCAGGAGCTCCAGCCCCGCGAGCATCGCTTGGCTCTCTTGCCCCCAGCCTAGGGTAAGGTGGGCAGTTCAGTCAGTCACCCAAGGCCATGCACCAGCGGCTGCAGAGCCAGGGTTGGGACCAGGGGCTGTCTGGTTCCAAAGCCTGGTCTCTTCCCCGCCCCCCGGGGTGCTTCACTGAGTGTACCCCAGCAGACAGTGGGGCTCTGGCCTCCTACCCCCCTGAGGGTATGGATACTGGGTGTTCATTCTTTCCTGGATGTAGGGAGAGCCAGGAGGGACTGGCCCTCATGCTGTCCCTCCCAGGGCCCCAGCCCCCATGGTGACACTCTGCTTGGGTCTGCAGTGGGTGGCCGTGTGGACTTCGAGGAGTTTGTGGAACTGATGGCCCCGAAGCTGAGGGAGGAGACGGCACACATGCTGGGGGTGCGGGAGCTGCGCATCGCCTTCCGAGAGGTGTGGGGCGAGGCGGCGAGGCGGGCGCTGCGTGGGCGTCTGGACGGCATCCTTATGGGACCCCCACCCAGGCCAGGAGGGACGCAGACGGGGGCGCCTCAGCCCGGGGAGGCCCAGAGCCCTGCAGAGATGGGAACCAGGGCCAGGGAGGGGTTGGAGAGGATGTGGCTCCCCCGCGCTGGGGGTCCACTCAGGGAGGCTTCCAGGAGCAGGAGAGGGAGGGTTTGGACTATGGGAGGTAGGGCGCCCAAGCACAGCGCGTGGTAAGGTGGGGATGGCTTTGGGTGGGAGGGGCTGAACCCTGCCGTGATCCCAGTTTGACAGGGACAGGGATGGACGAATCACAGTGGCAGAGCTGCGACAGGCCGCACCGGCTCTGCTGGGGGAGCCGCTGGCGGATCCTGAGCTGGAGGAGATGCTCCGAAATGTGGACCTCAATGGGGACGGCACCGTAGACTTCGATGGTAAGTGTCCTGCCCCCACCCCGGGTGCTTCCCCCA